ACAAGCAAACATTGCCAATAATGATGTTCTCTTCTGCCTTGAAAGTCGATTGTTTAGGGGGGTAAACAATGAGACGCCCACCAGACAGGCCTTTTCCGACATAGTCGTTAGCATCACCTTCCAGTTCGATTGTAATGCCGGGCGCAAGGAAGGCACCGCAGGACTGTCCTGCTGAACCGCGCATGCGGATATGGATAGTATCCTTCGGTAACCCTTCTTCCCCGTACAGTTTCGAGACGCGATGTGATAACGACGTGCCAAGGGCGCGATCAGTGTTCGTGACGTCACACTCAATATGAACTGGAAGACCCTTGGTAAGAGCTGGTTCGGACTCGTCAATGAACTTGTTGTCGAGGCGGATGTACAGCTTGTGATCTTGCTGACGAACGCGGTAAGTTGCAGCGCCAGGCCGCATCTGCCAAGCAGGCTTCAAAACAGCGGACAGGTCGAGGTGGGCGGTCTTGATGGTGCGTAGCTTCTCATCAACCTTGAGCATATCAGCGCGACCAACCATTTCGTTGATGGTGCGAAAACCGAGCTTGGCCATGTGACCACGAAGTTCCTCAGCGAGATAATAGAAGAAGTTGATGACTTGCTCTGGCTGTCCGGCAAATTTGCTGCGAAGCTGAGGGTCTTGTGTGGCTATACCAACGGGACAAGTGTTCACTGAAGTAAACAGGTTAGTTGCGGCACATGCCAGGAAGATGCAACACGTACAGTGACATTTGCGCATCATAATACAACCCATGGCAATGAGTGGTGTGGTAGCGAAACCCCATTCCTCGGCACCAAGCAGACATGCGATAGCAATGTCACGACCGGTACGAATCTGGCCATCAGTTTGGACGGTGACGCGACCACGGAGGTCATTCAAGACAAGTGTCTGGTGCGTTTCTGCGAGGCCAAGCTCCCACGGCAGACCAGCATACTTGATGCCAGTCCAGCGGGATGCACCAGTACCACCGTCGTGACCAGAAATGAGGATGTGATCCGCCTTTGCTTTTGCAACACCGCTTGCAACAATGCCAACGCCAACCTCGGAAACAAGTTTTACAGAGACACGTGCACGGGGGTTAGAGCACTTCAAGTCATATATGAGCTGTTTCAGATCCTCGATGGAATAAATGTCGTGGTGGGGTGGGGGAGAGATAAGCCCAACGCCGGCTGTAGAATGACGAGTGCGAGCAATAGATGTAGAAACCTTGTGTCCTGGAAGTTCGCCGCCTTCGCCCGGCTTGGCACCTTGAGCCATCTTGATTTGAAGCTCGTCAGCATCCGCCAGATAATTGGAAGTGACGCCGAAACGACCAGATGCCACTTGCTTGATAGCAGAACGCATAGTGTCACCGTTTGGGAGCATCTGAGAGCGCTCTGCATCCTCGCCACCCTCACCAGTGTTCGACTTACCGCCGAGACGGTTCATCGCGACAGCAAGCGTGGAGTGGGCCTCCATGGAGATTGACCCATATGACATAGCACCTGTGACGAACCTACGGACAATTTCATTCCAAGGCTCGACCTGTTCGATAGGGATAGGGGTAGCTTTCTCATAGCAAAAGTCAAGAAGTCCACGCAGATGAACACTCTTTGTTTGCTCATTTGCATTACGAGCGTACGCATCATAGGCGGTTTGGTTCTTCTCACGAACAGCATCTTGCAGATTGGCGATGCCAGCGGGATCATTGATATGTGCTTCGCCTCCATCACGCCAGTGATACTCTCCCGATTCGGGCATTCCTGGAGGTAAGATAGTTTCCCTAGAAGGCCACCCACGCTCATGAAGCTCGAAGGCATCCACAGCAAGTAAATCAAACGTGGCCCCCTGTACGCGAGATGCAGTACCAATAAAGCAACGGTCCACGACTTCACTATGAAGACCGAGCGCTTCAAAGATCTGAGCGCCCTTGTACGACTGAAGTGTCGAGATGCCCATTTTCGACATCACTTTGAGGATACCATTATCGATGGACTTGTGGTAATTGGTTAGGAGGTCCTTCACGGTCTTCTCGCCTTTGACACTGTGAAACATTACTTGATTAGCAAGAAGAAACTCGATAGACGTATCCAACTTACAGACCCTCCCGTGCAACCTTGTGAATCGTTTCCAGCATTAACCATGGGCATATCGCGTCAGCTCCATACCCAACCAAGACACAGATGTGGTGGACTTCACGAGCCTCCGCAGTCTCTACCATCAGGGCAACCTTGGCACGCTGCTTCTGTTGTGTCAGGTGGTGATGTACGCCACCACATGCCACCAGCGCGGATAGAGGGACACGGTTTGGCCCTGTGGCACGGTCACTAAGGATGATGACCTTGATCCCATCCTCAATAGCTTGGGATGCCTCGCTGCAGACACGTTGCAATGCGAGCTGATATCCTGGGAGCCCCCCTTCTTTTGGGAACGTTATGTCAATAGTGATGGAGGGCCACCCTGTGTATGCAAGCTTCAGATTCTTCATGGCGTTCATTTCCTCCAAGGAAATCAAAGGAGAAGGTAGAAGAATGCGGTGGCACTGTTCCGGCTTCATTTCGAGGAGATTGCCCTCAGGGCCGACGTATGCTTCGAGTGACATGACAATGCTTTCCCGAATGGAGTCGATAGGAGGATTGGTGACTTGGGCGAAGAGCTGGCGGAAATAATCATAAATGAGACGAGGCTGAGTAGCCATCGCTGCTAATGGAGCGTCGTTGCCCATGGAACCCAACGCTTCCTTGCCAGTGTCTACCATAGGCAGCATTAGGAGGCTAAGTTGCTCTACGGTATAGCCGAACGCAAGGAGCTTAGGGTCACTGCTTAGAGGCGAATCGTCAATGACCGTGTCTAGAGAAGTGTTGCTACGAATAATGCGCTTGATGATATTAGGGACATGAAGGACGTGGCTTTCAACCCACGAAGCAAAATTCTGCTTAGCAGCAGTATTGCGCTTCAACTCCTTGTCATCGACAATCCTTCCCTCAAGCGTGTCAACCAACAGCATCCGGCCAGGCTTTAAACGTCCCTTCTGAACTACCTTCTCAGGAGGAATGAATACTGCGCCAACTTCAGAAGCGCAGACCATGATATCATCATTGGTGACGATGTAGCGACATGGTCTTAGACCATTTCGATCAAGGTTCGCACCGCAGTATCGGCCGTCGCTGAAGGTGAACAGGGCAGGACCATCCCAAGGCTCCTGAAGACAAGCAGCCCAATTGTAGAAGGCGCGTTTCTGTACATCCATGCTCTCGTTGCCTTGCCAGGCTTCGGGTATAAGCATCATGACAGCTTCGGGTAATGTGACAACACCATTGACGACGAGCAACTCAAGCACATTGTCAAATGCAGCAGAGTCAGATCCACCGGTCTCGATGATGGGATAGAGCAAGTCGAGTTGATCACCGAAATGAGTAGAAGAAAGTACGCCTTCTCGAGCTCGCATCCAGTTCTTGTTGCCGCGCACGGTGTTGATCTCACCTAAGGATTCTACGTCAGGGCTTACCTGGCAGCGTCAAGTGCAGATCACTAACCGTTATGAGCAGCCCATCTCATTGGCTGAGCTCGATCCCAAGAGGGAAACGTATTTGTCGAGAATCGAGAATGCACCAAAGTAAAATGCGAACGATACAGGACGTGATTGAGATCATGGTAGTAATTGTATACTTGTGGGGGAGTGAGTTGTCCCTTATATACGATGTTCTTCGAGGACAAAGAACAGACGTAAAAGCCGTTGGCAAGCGTACTTCATACAACAAAAAGAAGATTCGCAAACGAGTGTTAAGCTTGGTACATGAACTAAACAGATTAAAGTCACAAACATGGTGTGCGTTGCGTGCTTGCGCAAAACGTACAGTTGTCGCTCGAAATGCTTGGCATCGAAAGGTCCATTTTGACTGTTGATTCCATCACCGTAATGGTTGCGTAGGACGATAAAAGGCTGATAAATCGCAGGTTCCTTGCTGCTTGCAGCAGGACCAAGGATCGTGCCATCGGTCGGAACTTGACGCCAGCCTAAAACCCGAAGGCCCAGTTGACTGGCAATATTGGCGAAAACAGATTGGTTTGTTTGCAATTGAATGGGATCATTTGCCTTGAAGAAAACATTGCCGACGGCATATTCGCCTGGTGTAGGAAGAGTGCATCCAATATCCCGTTCTGCTTCGCGCTTGAAAAACTGATGTGGAATTCCAGTCATGACACCAGCACCATCACCGTCACGACTATCAGCACCAGTGGCGCCTCTGTGCGTCATTGCACAAAGTAATTGACGAGCATCAGAGACAATTTTGTGGCTATGTTCGCCCTTGATATGGCAGATAAAACCCACACCACATGAGTCCTTCTCATTTTCGTTGGAATATAAACCCTGGCTCGCAGGAAGAGATCCTGCCCAGGAGTTAGGATCACGTTCTACGGCATGAAAGCCATTATCGGCCGTGGACGTCTCGTCAGCAACGAGGGGTAGAGAACTTGTGTGATGATGATGATCGAAAGGAACAGGGGGACTTGCCATAGGAAAGGAAGCGGACGTATATGACAATAATGAGCAAGAAAAGACGAAAGTTTGTTGAGTTTTTGATCAAAGACGCTGAAGGGGACAGGAAGATGGTAGTCAGAGTCAGAGAGCAAAATGATCAAATTTGTAGCTTGACACTAGTGACAGGAGTCAGACCAAATTACCAAAATTAGGGGGCACACGTGAAAGACGAGCCGAAAACTCCCGATTCATTCCGATGGCTACGGGGAAGTCAATCAAAGCCTGTCTGTCTCCCCGCCCCGCTGGTGGCACTCACGCAAAGGATATAAAACCTTGATCAAGTTGCAGAGCTACGATGCGACATATCGTGCGCGTAAATATGGTGGATGTTCAGAACGTTCAAGTTGTTTCAGGTTCTGCTTCGACAGTGCTACGCTGCTGATCACGAGCAAGGTCAGGGACGATTTCTCACCCTTTATTACCTCGATGAAGTTCAGTCTCCGCATGCGGTAAGCTTCGACGGAATAGGCCTCCGTGAGGAGGATACGGGAGACCGTCCTTTGACAGTGACACCGCCTAGATCGCCACATCCGCTCCAATCTGACTCCTCGAGCATAAGATGAAGGCCGAACCAGCCATTTTTTCTTTGAATGTCCTCATCGGAAGCACGTTGGCTTACTAGAATTCCCAAAATACTGTCCGCGATACTGAAACACGAGCTTTCAGTAGTAACGGTTGAGCGGCTGACAGTCTTGGCAGCTGGAAGTACGATTGCACCTAGTAACGGCCTAATGCTGCCACTGATGGTCATAATTACACCAATGTCACCATCAATTACACAGAAATATAATCTACATCGGGCGTTGCCCAAAGACAATAAATAGGATTCAAAAAATTCCTGCCACTAATGCCGCTGTGGCACGGAGAGCACAAAAATTAAATGAATGTGACGTTGAATTCACAATTTACATCGCAAAGGTTTTCCTCACTCCTGCAACAAAGTTGAAAGGACCTGGACCGGCATCAGCTCCCTCACGTCATTCGCGGCCCTATGGCCACGGGTTCTATCGTCCTGGACCTCATGCGAGATCGGGAGGTAATCATCCGACGAAAAGTCGAATGACGTTGAAATGTCTGGTCCAGCAAATACGCATGAGACGTGCTCCAAACGTGATAGTGTATCCTGGAACACCAGGAAGATAAGTTGAGCCCATGAACGAGCGTTTTCGCGTTGTTCCTCGAACCAGAACGTTAGCCTTTTTAAATTCCGTGCGTTCGCTATCATGCGATCAAAATGCCCCCAGAAAGGGACTCCGAAGTTCCGAGGCCATGTGAATAGGCGCTATATGGCTGTCAGTCACAACCCTGCTATAAATTCAACCAGTATTGCTGACCTCAGTAACCAGACCTGTCAGCGTAATTTCCTCAATGTCCTTGGAAAGTGGTGTGCGGCACATATCTGCCGGCCGCCGCATCATGAAATCAAGTCCCAAATTTTTGACAGGTACTGTGGAGGGGTCGATGAAGTCGCTGAGCCGCGTCCCACTGCGGTGTACATGTTGGCCTTTGAAACGCACAGTGTGAACTGGGCGTCCAGGTACAAGGGCTTTTAAAAAACAAGAGTTGGCAGATATTTCTGTTAGAAGTGGCAGAGACGTGGGAAGAAACATCTCCTCGCGTTCGGGATAGATATCGATTGTGGGCATGCCAGTGAGAGCAAGATCACGGACGCTATCCTGCCTATTCAAAAAGTTTAGGAGGTGGCGGTTGACATGATAGGTGCAATGAAAAACATGAAGCTCGGCATCACAATACTGAAGAACGGACGAGTATCCATGCTTCTGGGAATGGATAAGCTTGAGTGTTGAGAGGCAGGTCATATTTTTGGGGGCCGACGTGAGATTATCTAGGTGCACCTCAGGACCGTCGTAGACCATGGTTGTCGGATATGTAAATACGAAAGATTTGACTTTCTCTGCGAGATGGGGACACTCTGCGAGCGTGGTACACACGTCCGAGTTGTCGACCGTGATGGACTCATACAGAGGGTCAACTACTGCGTGATAGAGGCCGGCGCACACTCTGCAGAGTACAGCTAGGTCATTAGAGGAAAATTTGCCGAAAGAGAAAACGAGGAGCCACAGCTCAACAGGTAATTTCAAGTCGTTAGTCGGCATGAGGAGCTTAGTACTCCGATGAGGGCGGAGTAATGATCAAGAATAATTGATTTCACGCTCCGCTTGATTTTGCTCCACCTATTATTGACTTACATAATCATTCTCTGGAATCGGCAGAAGCTCCTTCCCAGCCACTAAGGCTCCAACTGTTTAGTTTATGTCTGCGATTTTTGAGTAAATAGACATAAACAGTAGGTAAACATATACTAAACGGTTTACAGCAGTTTGCATAACTAATGGCACAACCACATAAGTCACAACATATAACAACTCTTGAAAGACTTAGAGAAATTTCGAGTGATGGAGTAACTACAGACAAACACAAAGAGTCTACAACTCATTCATCACAACTATGGGTAATAGAAAAATTTCATCTGACCTCAAGCTCACTGCCATCCACCTTCATGAGTGGGGAATTCTCACCACTCATGAAATACTTGATTGTGTTGGTTTTTCAAGATGGACCTTCCTTCGAATCTGCAAGCTCTATCGTGAAACGGGTGATGTTGTCAAGCCATGTAGTGAATACATCGGCTGGCCAAGGGCTTTGAACCTTGAAGATGTTGCATACCTTACAGAGCTCATTGAGCATTGTCCTGATTGGTTTCTCGATGAATTAGCTGGCCTCATACAATGAAACTGTTTCATATCACTCCACTACACAACAATTCATCATGAACTTTGTTGTGCTGGTATCTCACTCAAAAAGCTTCGCAAAGTTGCCAAGGAACGTATCGAGGATGTTCAGGCTGACTTCATGTGAAGGATGGCACACTACACATCTGACGAGCTTTGTTTCATTGATGAGACATCCAAGGATGATCGTACACCATTCCAGAGGTGTGGTCGGGCGAAAAAAAAGTCGATGGGCAAGCATGAGAGGGGTGTTTGTGTGAGGACGGCGAATCATAGCTGTCGCAGCATTGACAGTTGATGGAATCATTGCCGGTCACATTGTGGAGGGATCTTTGTGTTGAAATGGCTATCTCAATTTTCTCAAGCACTCTGTAGTGAGTACCTTGATCCATGCTGGCAGTCCTTATTTCAACTATCATTTTCGCTGTGTAGCTTCCACACTGTGAAGCATATCCAGGCAAGAACAGTGTCTAGGTCATGGACAATGCTCAGATCCACCATGGTGCAGATGTTCGTGAGCTTGCAGAATGGTGTAGGTATACAACACAGAGTGGCGCTATACAAAGATGGCTCCAAACTGATATCTTTATGTTGTGGTCTTGCACTGCCTAGTCTGCTATACTTGGTGAGACAAGTGCATTCGACCCAGGGGTCTGCAGTCTGGGAATAGTTTTGGGGGTCAGTGAGTGATGTGGGGTCAATAATCTGAGCGCAGGAAACAATGTCCGAAGGTATAATTATGATGTCCGATGCAAAAGCATCAGGTCCGATGTTTTTTGGGTTTTGGGTTATCTGGTTCAGGTTCGGTGTATTGGAAACTAATAGTGATGTGATAGTGAGTGTCGGGAAAGCGAGTGGTGTGCGCAATAATAACGATGACAGATACAGACGGTGAAGGAACAATGATATTCACAATGTCAACTAAGAACTACGACATATTGGGTTTGACCCCTAAGTGTCAGAGACGACTCTCCTCTACTTGGATGATGATGATGCTATGGGGAGTCCAATATTTATGTAGATACATAGAAATCCGGAACCCTATAGGCGAAAGTAGTAGCACAATATTTTGGGTCCGATGTCCTATGTAATAAGACATGATGTACTGCAGACTATGGGAATACATGTAATAATGTGGTTGACAATGTTAGGGATGTGAAAACAAGTAAATACACACCTAGTGGGGCTAGCACAATGAGACTGGACATAGATAGGACGAGTGTGCGCGATATCCAATAGGCCGATGCAAAACCTGATGTCCGATGTTTTCAGGTTTGGTGCGTATTGAGTTGGATATGATAGGGAATGATCTGGGTAATGATTAGCATTCAACATGCATCGGAAAATAGACCTCTACAAGGCCACAAGGACTCCAAGTCCTACAACGGTTCGGTAAGTCTCAGTATATTTGATGAACTATCACTCACACCCATGCAGGTGTTCAAATCGTGTTTCTCCCACCTTACTCACCAGATTTGAATCTGATCGAAGAAGCCTTCTCAAAAATCAAGTCATGGATCCGTCGGAACTATGATCTGTTTGCAACACCTGGTGATGGTATGTTTTATGACATGCGTAAGGCCCTAGATATCATTACACCGGAGGATGCACAAGGCTACATGAGACATTCAGGGTATTTCTAGTATACAGACTGATGGATTGCACTGCTGTAATAATACATAGTGAAACAGCAATACACGACTTGAGTTACCACAAAGACAAATAAGACTTGACTGTCCTGCTAGCATAATAAATGAAAAAAGAGCAAGATACCACTACTCGCCAAACCAATGTGAAACAGCATCTCTGAGCTGTGCAAGCTCACCCCAAAGTAGCCCAATTGACTCCAGATCTTCCAATAAGGTAAAACAGAAGGAGTGCGATGAAGAAAAGCCATTCTGAAGAAGCTTGGCTTGAAGTGTTTTGGATACCTCATAGGCAACACAAAAGTCAGTGAGAGACATTTGAGGGCCAGGTGCTGCAAGCTGAGCTAGAGACAATAAAGATGTAGTAACCACAGAGGCAGGAGGGTGAGGAATGGGAGTAGCAGCGTGGGCTTGAGTGAGAGCAGGTTCTAGTGCATGGAGAGATTGAAAAAGTTCTGGAGGAAAGTTGACATTGATAACAGGTGTGTTGCTAGTACTCGAAGCTTTCAATTGTGCTTGCTCATCAAGCTGTTGACGACGTAATGCGAGAACTGACTGCTGACCCAAGAGCTCCTCAGGGATCATGCTGAAGTGAGAATGGTTTGGTGGATTTTCAAGTGTTGCTGTAGCAGGTCCTTTCAACTATTTTCTTGATCAGAACATGATGAAATAGTAGAGAACGGTACTTACTATTGCTGATGCCCAACATTCGAGTTGAGGAAATGTCAGTGTAATATGAGATCTGCCATCTGCTGGATTGACAAAGCAGAACTCACTCTTGCAACCAGGTTTTTTGTGGTAGATCCACCAGTTGCGAAGGTCCTGAGTGTTCTTGTTGACAGGCTGGTTTGACTCATCAATATCTGATGCCTTTGGTGCCTTTTGATAGAGTAGTATGTCATCACTAGAGATACACTGTAGCTATTGACTTACTCTGGTTTTTTTCCATTTGTCCTTGCATTTCCGTTTCTTCTTTCCATTATTGTCGGAGGAATTGTCACTGCTGGATCTGTCACTGGTTGCTGAGTTGTTCTCCTTTCCTGATTGAATTTCTTTATGCTGTACATAGTTCATTGCCACAAGGTTGAGTGTCAAGCAGACATAATGTTATCAACATACCTTTTTCATATTTTGCATCTCTTGCACATAAACAGTTGCTGTGAGGTCTTTTGCTTTCTTGACTCGACCAATGAGTTCTTCGTAATCTTTCTGGTTGGTGATTGCAAGAGGTGAAGGTGAAAGATGTGGAATTGTGAAGGAACCTTTATAGTTGTCAAAGCTAACTGTTGCAGGCTTCATCTCGTTGTCGATCTTGACAAGTAATTGTGCCTTGAATGTGTCAAAAGGTGTTACGGTATACTCACACCCCTACCTTTTCTTGTAACCATCACCATGCATAGCCCTTATCTCTTATCAAGCGGGCTGTCCGCACTATGTTTGCTATCTCTTATCTCCTCTTATCTCTTACCAAGTGGGCTGTCCGCCTTCTATCTTGATACGTCATTTACAAGCTCCGCTTGAACATTCGCTATATAGACACATAGCGTACCGATTGTATTCTGCACTTTAATCTACTGGGTTTTACCTGGAACTTGTCCTTTAGCAAGGTTGGAGACCTTGCTATCTAAGAACCACTATTCTAAGGGAGTTGTCTACACTCGCCTTAGCCAGATACCTTCGACCTCTCATTAGAGAGAAGATCCACATCTGTCTTGCTTATAGCAGATCATCCACTCAGACATAGACAGCTCGACTTATCCCAGTCGTAACAAAAGATTAAAGTCCTATTCTAGACACCGCCATCTGCGACGTCCCTTGACACCACGACTTCGTTAACTCCTTTGATCAGAGCCCTGAACCTAGGCACTCTACTGCCTATACCACCTTTGAACGCCATGACTACCTCTACCAAAGAAATAGAGATCAAGATCGGTACCCCTCCTGAATTCGACGGGGACCGTGATGAATCGCATAGGTTCATGTTGAACTGCAATGCATACCTCGACATCAACGACAAGATCTACGACAGTGACAAAAAGAAAGTTATCTTTGCGCTATCATTCATGACCAAGGGCAATGCTGCCACTTGGAAAGAAGATTTCATGGAAGCCGCTCAAAATAATAAAAGAGTAAACACGGCTGGAACCATCATCGGATATGGAACCTGGGCTGACTTCAAAGTCACATTCAAAGAAGCCTTTGGAGCCATTGACCCAGCAGGAACAGCCATGGCCAAGATCCGAGCTCTCACTATGAAAGGAGATCTCCAGACCTACATCTCCAACTACCGCCTTCTTGCCCATAAAGCCGGAATAACCGAGAACATTACCAAAGTAGAATTTTTCCATGAAGGACTGGACATAGGCCTTTGCAACAATCTCTACCACACCAGAGAAAGCCTAGATGACTTCGAAACCGTCGTCGCTACATGTATCAACCTGGACAATGCGTTCCAGAGGTTGAAAGCTATCCAGAAGCGAGAAAACCCGTCCTTCCAGAAGAAGAAGAGGTTCGGAGATCGCCACTTCACCCCTTGCAAAGATGATGCCATGGAAGTAGACCGACTCTCTGAGCTGGAAGTAAAGAGGCACTTGAAAGAAGGACAGTGCTTCAATTGTCATCAAATAGGACATCGTGCCAATGATACTACTTTCCACCCGCGCGAAAACAAGAAACAGAAAGCCCCGATTCGAAGGAAGACTGAGAAAGAAGAAGAAGAAAGTGGCAATGATGAAGTCAAAAATGGCCACTTCATGGATGTGGATTTTTAGAAAGGAAGACTGCCTTGACGTCAGAACTTCCCATTCCTATACGACTTGTACAATCACTTGGAAATAAGAAAGAACTTCGAGTCCCAGCCTCTCTTATTTCTGGAAAGCATATGAAAATTGTCGAAACATCCATGGTCATCAACTCCAGGGCATCCGGAACATTTATAAGCGACACCTTCTGCAAACTACACAAAATTAGAACTCATAAACTTTCCAAACCATTTCTGGTTATCACTGCAGACAGATCAAATGCAGCCGGTGGCCTAATCTCCTGATACTGCATCCTTACAGTCAAAATTGATGAAAGGACCATGATAGGAAAGTTTAATGTGGCCAGACTTGCGAAACGTGACAAAATCTTATTAGGATTCCCTTAGTTAAGGGACTTAAATCCCAACATCGATTGGGTAAATGGAGCACTGTCACTACCAGCAAACAAACACTTGCTAGCCCTTGAACAACGCATCGACGAAACCAGGAAAAGCAACAGATTTCCACCGCTATTTTCGTCAAGACAAAACCCTGTCAAAACAGAAAAACCTGCTACCTGAAAGAATTCCAAACTAAAGAAAGCTACTTCTGAAGAGGTGGTTACTGAGAAACCTTCGCTTAGGAAAACTTCTATAGAGGAGGTCATTGACGAAGAAACCCTTCCCCCTCTCATGCCTGACCAGGATGAGGACCCATCCAACTATGACACCCGGGAAGATGTATGTCCGACAACTTTGCTCCAACTGTTGATGACGCCTTCGCCTATGATTTGGACAATGACGACGTCCTCATTGAGTATGCCTCTGACGGTTCTCAAGTAAGAATACTCGAGAACGCCTCGTTCAATACACCACTTACCCGTGACGGAACATCGAAAGCAGAGCACGCATACAGGAAAGTTAGTAACAAAGCCCAGGAATTTGCTGTAGCTGGAGAAATAGAAAAGAAAAAGAAAAGCTTTGAGGAACTTGTTCCATCCTATCTACACACTTATGCTGACATCCTTGCGAAAGATGGTCTCAACAAACTCCCTCCGGAACGACCAGGCATAGATCATTGTATCGACCTGAAACCAGGGTTTGTTCCCAAGACGTCCAAAATCTACCCACTATCCGGCAAAGAAAGAGAAGCAGTGAAGATGTTTATCGAGGAAAACACCAAGAAAGGATTCATTGTTCCTTCAAAATCCCCTCAAGCAAGTGGATTCTTTTTTGTAGGAAAGAAGAGTGGAGAGTTGTGCCCGTGTCAAGATTACTGGTACCTCAACAACTGGACAGTGCGCAACCAATACCCTCTTCCTCTACCAAAATCTCTCATTGAGCGGCTCTATAACGCGCAATACTTCACTAAGATCGATGTTCGGTCTGGTTACAATAATATCAGGATCCACCCAAGTGATAGATGGAAGGCCACGTTCACAACTGAAGAAGGCCTATATGAACCAATGGTCATGTTCTTCGGCCTTACCAACTCCCCCGCTACTTTCCAAAGCTACATGAACGACCACTTCCAATCGGAGATCAACCAAGGATGGTTGGTTATCTACATGGATGATCTTCTAATCTTTTCCAAGGATCTAGACGAACACCACCAGCATACAAAGCGAGTCCTCGAAATCCTACGGAAAGAACAGTTAATCATTAAACCAGAAAAATGCATCTTTGATGCCAAGGAAGTAGAGTATCTAGGCATGATTATTCATCCTGGAGAGGTAGGAATGGAGCACGCAAAAGTGGAAGGGATTAAACAATGGCCGATTCCTACCAATGTAAAAGAAACATGCTCCTTCCTCGGTTTTTGCAACTTCTACCACGCCTTTGTTGCCCATTACTCTGACATTGCCCGACCCCTCATCGAACTCACCAAAAAGGATCATGCCTTTCAATGGACCACCGCTGTCTTCTTAGATAGATGATCTATAGATAAACACCTATAAAACCAAATATCTCCACGGTCAGCGATTCAGACAAATACCAATGACTGATAACGTGGTCGTTCATGGGTGGCTTTCTTATGCTCCTAAAGTACAGTCAGCACAATGAGTTCTGCACAAGAGTCAGTAATCAACAATTGATCCAACAGTATGGATATGAAACACAGCGATCAGAGAAACAAAGAACCAGTCAGTCAGCGATTGACAACAACAACAACAAACAAAACAACAAAAACAACAAAAGTATCAGGAAACACAGCCACTCCAACAATATAGAGATGTCAACAAAACAAACAGAAAAAGATACTCTTCCTAACACTTCATACAGCAACAATGATTCGTACACAAACTTAATGCAGCAAGTTGTGTGGAGTTACAATGAGAGCCCCCCTCTATACAAACACAGGTGAAACTACTGTCAGACCTAGTCAAGCCTCTGTAGCACTCTTAGCCTAATATTGAACCTGCTGTCAAGGAACTCACAATGAGTATTCAAACAGACTCAGGAATGGGCGACCTTGGACTTCAATACCAAGTCCCCTTTCAATAGCTAAAGTCTAACTTGCAATGACTACCCTCGATCAGTATAACACACAGATGTATGAGGTCAGGTATCACCGTCAACACCTTAAGTCTCCCCACAAGACTATCCTAAGTCTTCAGTGGACAAAAGAGACAACACCAAACTTCTGGGTAAGAATGAGACTGAAACTTTGGTACTTGAGAGAAAGTTGATAGGTCAAGACAAACAACAAAAACAAGACCGCTACAACAGAAACACTAACACGATCATGTTCACGTAGACTGTTAGTAACAACAATCACAACACACAGAGACAGCGATCACAGAGATGATCAACACAGTTAGTCACCAACACACCACACACTTGAGACAGAGAGAGAGAAAGAGAGAAAGAAACAGAAACACGAGTTTTCAGTCACGAATTTCAGACACAATCTCAGAGAAACAGAGAGAAAAACAAAAACACAGGCACAGAAACTGAGACACTCAGACACACAATCACAGAGAATGGGATACAGACAAAGACACAAAAAGAAACAACGAAATTCAGACAGACAATCAAGAGAAAACAGAAAAAGAAAAAGTAGTCTTGCTAGTTGTCAGACACAGTGAGCTCAGAAGTGTGCTGCTGGTTGTTGAGCACAATGAGCTCCAACCTTTTGCTACACTTGCTGAATGCTGAATCACATTTCACTCACAATTTTATTCTGAGAGTATAAAAGCAGGGGAATTTTTTTTTTATTGGGCAAAAAGCAGCTCCTTATATAGACAAATTAGGTGGCTATACTACTAGTTTCTCACACTTAAGGTTGTAACTTTAGTTTGATAGTACCAAGTTATACAGTATCTTTGAGTCAAAAGTAAATATTCATAACTCTAGTTGGTATAATGATGAGTCAGCAAGAGCTGTGCATGGCCCATGGGTCAGGTGATCCCTTGATGACTCGACTAGAAAAGAGTGAGAAATGATTACATAATGTGTGCATATATGTTGTGGCTGATAAATTATTTGGTAGCGTAATGACATAGGGTGTGTATTTAGTGATTTGTAAGCTTTCCCACAGGGTAACCTTATGCAAACA